TGTTTTATGCTAGATTTTACAACGAATTTTATGTATATGTGTTCCTGGCCTAACAGCTTCTAATGAGTTGCCAAACTTGTATGAAGTCTGGCATTATCATGGTGAAACACACCTTTTCTGTTTGATGGTATCACTCAATTTGTCCAGTTGATGGCAGTACACTTCCAAATCAATTGTGAAATTGTCTGATAGAAGCTCCAAAAAAAAAATTCCTTAAAATCCAACCAAACAGCATCACTTTTTTTGATGAATATTGGCTTTCAAAGCACTTTGAGCTGACTCATCTCTCCTACTCCACAAACACTTGCATTCGACATTGTTATAAACAATCCATTTTTCATTGCCAGTTATGATTTGCCTCAAAAATGGATCATTTTCTTTACGTTTGAGAAGCAAATCACATAATTATGTCAGTGCAACGGAGCTAATCTCTTTCTTTAAGAATGTGAGGAACCCATATATTGAGCTTTTAAAAGAAACCGAGTCATTTCAAGTAATCATAAGCAGTTGAATTTGACAAATTTAATCTCTTAGCGATTTCTCATTTTGTTTTAATTATGTGAAACCGTGCTTTGAAATTCGTTTCTGCTTCTAACACAATAAAATGCTATAAATTAAGACACTTTTGGTTTTTCTCATCTTTATTTATTTGATAACAAGATAACCACCAAATAACAAGATTTTATTTTATTTGGCGGTTTTCTTCAATCAATACCTTTATTTTGTCTTCATCAGCTTCAACTGACCTTCTAGAACATGGTGCATCTTCAATATTGAAATTGCTGGAACAAAATTTTGCAAACTAGTTTTGGCATTGTTGTTCTGTCAACATATCTTTTCCATATACACCACACAATTTTTTTCTTGCTTGTACAGCATTCTTACTTTTTCAGTAATAATAAAACAAAATATGCCAAAAATCTGCTTTTGATTTTCCATATTTGATGGAACACAAAAAAAAAACAATTGCAAAGAATCAAACAAAATTTTTTACAAATAAGCCTTGAAATGTAAGCTGTCAAAATATATAATGACAATATGATTTAGAATGAAATTGGCAGGTAAAAATACAACTAATCCATCTGGTGGTAAAAAACAAAATTACTTTTGAAACAATCCAATGAATTATCCCTGCCTATTAACAGTGATATCCAAGAACAGGTTCATAGGTAGGAGTATTGACAATTGAGGTTGAAAAGGAACTTATCATGAAGCATGAAAGCAGTACATAGGTAGTGGATTTGGTAGCCATGTTTAAGTTGTCAAAGTCAATGATGTGCACTATTTTTAAGAACAAGCAAAAAAAAAAAAAACAGCAAATTTGGCTAAAGGTATGACAGTGTTTACCTCCAGATCACATGTTATTGGGGAGATGGAAAATCTCCTCCTAGTGTGGATAAATGAGAAAAAACTGGTAATATCATCTCTGAGAAGATTATTTGTGAGAAAGCCAAGCAAGCTGAATAGTAACATTGAGAAATGGGACATTGCCACTCCTCACTAAAGTATATAAAATTCAATTTTGGTTCAAGTCTTTCCTCAATAATGCCTATCTACATTTTACTACAGAATAAATATAAGAATTTAATGTGAATTTCTATTTAATGTATATAGGGTCTAGAAGAGCCAGTTTGGTCAAACTGTGGGTCTTCTAGATCCTTATTGCGGCTTCCATATAGGACCCGTATCTTCTTATTAGAGGTGGTGGTCTGACTTTGGTTCTATTCCTCTATATATATAAATTACTGTTTAAATACAGGATGATGATCTCGTGTATTTCTGATAGGTGGTATATGGCTCCTATTGTGACAAGATTTGGCCACTCCCAGTGTACTGTATATGGTAACTTGCAAGAAGTATAAGTTCTATAAAAAGGAAATTTGTGAAAGTCAGAAAAATACATTTTGGTATTACTGTCAAATTTTTCCATTGAATAGCCTGAGATGAATCTACAAGGCATGAACAGAAAAACTCTGAGAAAACTATTATTAATTTATACTAGTTTAAATTTCCATTTTTGATAGATTCTAACAACTATTGAATCAAGAAGCCTTACAAAAATATCAGGAATGAAATCAACTCTATCAATATTTATTGACAAGACTATGTCTTGTTTCTAAAATCATACTGCCCTTATATCCTTACCAGCATAGAGGTATGAAGGAGTACATGTCGAGAGTTGATATTTGGACAGAGTATTAGGTGCCCAAATCATTTGTGCATAAAAATATCCAGGCTCGTAGATAGTCGGGACCGAGAATCGAGTCAAAATAAAATACAAAATGGCGACCCTCTTCTACAAACGGGCAAAACAGCCACCTCATCCCACCGAAGTCGGGCAGGGGAGAGTACCACTCACAGTCATTCTAAGAAGTGAACTCTGACCTTAGGACCGAACACGTAGTTTCTTCTATGTTAAATAAAATTTGTAATCTAATTTTGTAAATTTGGGAGTGCTTCAAATATGACGTTAAAACGGTTTTATGTCGTTACAAGTGGGCTTTTTTTAACATTATCTAGTATAGTAAAATCGTAGGACCGATAAAAATTTGACGTTATATTAGGATTGGCGTTACATTCGATAACGTTATAATCGGGTTAAACTGTATATTGTTTGTGCAAAATAAAAAAATAATTTTGGACGATACAATAACCACGATTATTATTATTTTTTTAATGGGAACTATTTGTTACACATCAACAAAAATTCAACCCGGGCCGACACGCAATGGAGAGAAATTTTGAAATTAGATAGGTTAATTTCATCAGAGATGCATGATGGATGATCTCACGATCATGGCCAGCGAAGTTTGAATGATCACGCCCAAAAGCAGCGATATCGAAGAAGATAGGAGAGTGAGAATGAGACCTGCCTTGAGCATCAGTGATTCCGTCTCTGAGACATAGTCTTGTCCCAAATACGGTTTTGCTGTTTTACTTGTTTTGTTTATATCATGATGGATTTTAGGGCATGGTTTAATTCAGGGATGGCAAACCTTTTTGAGTTCATATACTATACAGCAGGGGTGACCAACAAGTCGATCATTTGTGATGTCTTGACTTAATGTGTTACACTTATAACTGAATGCGTAACGCACAAATGCAACTGTAGTGATATCGGACCTCCTCGTCCTCCCTCAGATGCGGTTTTGTCGGTCGATGTGCAATCCATTTGTATACAGTTGTAAAAGGGGAATAAGAAATGTAGACAAGGAAAGAAAGAAAGGTGGGAAGAGGGACAGAGAGTAAGGTTGGGACACGGTAGAGAGAGGAAGGGTGAAGTGCTGATCCCCAAAAGTGACAACGTTGAGTTCCAATTTTTCTTCTGTTTAAAATGTAAGTACCTTTTCTTCGTGTTTTAAATTAAATTGTGGCTTTTCTTACCTATCTAAACATAGTATGTATTTCACATCTACCTCTCGCCACTTAGACTATGCCTACAACAATAAGTCGATTGCGACACATTTTTAAGATAAAAAGTAGATCTTATGTACACAAAAGTTGGCCACTCCTGCCATATAGTAAACATTATTTTTAAAAACGTTTGTGTTCTAAAGTTTTAGAATTTAAATAAAGATTTTTATAAAAATCAAATGAATAAGCTTTAATTAGAACAAATGTAAAGAATCTGATTAAGAAAAGGATGATAATACACTAAACTAAATATAAAACTATAATAAAAACTGAAATTAAGAAAATTAAAAGAAATTTTATGATCTGTTGCATGCCAGATTATTTTTCCCAATATGCCACTTTGGATGCACATGCCATAGGTTTGCCATTCCTAATTTGGTGAAATGATATGAGTTCATAAATTGTTTTGAAAAATTAACATACATGATTCAGGTCTAACCAGATGCCAACACAAGCTACATTTAAAATTAACAAGATCCTAGTATAAAACAATGAAATGAAATATATATTAGAAAATAGTAAACTTAAATATGTAATCTTAAATATATGCATTAAATTTTACATAATTTAGGTTTAAGCATATTTCAGTTCCTGCATGTGCCAGTTTTTGAATTGAGATAAAGACTTCTGATTAGACTGAATGTCATTATGAATGATTTTCCTATTGACTACATTCCAATAGGAAATTTTTCAGTGCATAAAAAGAAATTTGTTCTGCTCAATTCTGCATTCAATTTCAGCAGAAACTTCATCAAATAATAATGTTATTTTCTGTTTCCATCCATATTTATGATGTATCTTGCATATTTGCATTTGACTCAAGTCCACTTTGGTTTTAAAACAGTGAGATGATCACTCTGCCTTTTCTTTACATCAACATTAAACATTACCAAACATGTCAAATATGTCATTAATATGACTAAAATAAATACAGAGAAAACTCGAGAGTATGGAATTTGAGCAGATAAACCACCCAAGTTGATATCTAAAGATCTAGCCTATATTTTTAGTGAGACAACACGCATCGTTTTCATTTGAAAATACACAAACACAAACGTATATTTTACTTTCTGTGCTCTTTTGTTTTATTTTGAGATCATTTCAAGGAATATTGTATTTGCAATATTCCTTGAAATGATCTCAAAATGGTAATGGATTGAAAATTGGTAAAAATTACATTCACATTTTAAAGTAGTGACCACATTTTTTGTTCAAGCTTGCCTAAGCTGAAAATTTAAGTCCCATCCAATCCTGGCTTTCACCTTAAGCATTTTTAGTTCCTGCATGTGCCAGTTTTGTTTAAAATTACAGTATTTGTAAAAACCACCACTAACATTTTCTTTCCTCTATAGGAAAAAATTTCAGGTATAATCATTTGAAAAATGAGGACATGCAAAAGTTACTTTAAGATCTCCTTTTCTAAATCTTTAGAATTTTTGCAATAATGTATATTATGTACTATGTATATTAATTAACTAACATTACTGTATATAACCAAATCGTTCCCCCATTGTAAGAAATAATTTAAATCAATAAACATTAAATTAAATTAAAATTTAAAAAAAATTAAATTGTCTTTCCTCTAGCACGATGATAACTGACGTCCAACTAGCCATTTTTGCTAATTTATTGGGAGTTTTATTGTTCATGTTGGTGGTAGTCTATCACCACGTTTCTGTCAACAATGCAAGAAAAGTGACACTGTAATAATAATAATAATAATAATAAGGTAATTTCCAAAAACTTGAAAAATATCAATTTGGTACTTTTGAAAGATTAAAAAAAATATTTTTTATTGATATTTTCCAGATGACAACAGACTTCTATGAAGCACATGGGTGTCATTATTATCAAGAAAATTATTCTTAAAGAATATCTTGTTGCAATTATTAATTTTGATAATCTTGCAAATAAAATGGATTTGTTTTGAATTGTTTTCCTTATTTTGTTCAGATTTTATATATGAGGAGTATTTTTTCAACCTTCAATGTATGTACCAGGGGAGAGAAAAGTAAGCAGTGAATATCAAAACTGTTTTATTTCCAAAAATTGACAGATATACTTTTCAGCTACTTATTTCAATTTAGGCATCATACTAGTTATCATGCTAGTACAGGGGTCGGCAACCTGCGGCTCGTGAGCCACATGCGGCTCTTTGGATGTGAAGCTGCGGCTCTTTAGTTCCATACGCAAATATTATTTATTTTATAAAAAAAAAAAAAACATTTAATTAAAAATCGTTCTGAATCGAGTAACGAGGATTAGGCACTGATTCTATCTCTCAGCCACTNCGCACCCCCCAGTGACATGCATCGTCACTGTCGTCAGTCTGTCAGAAGCTCTCGAATGACGCCGTCGTCGGATGTTTCTATTATCTAATTTGTTGTGAAAAACACTACTTATATATGAATAAATAGATATTTTTTCTTATGAATAAATAGATTAGTTTTTTATCAAAAAACTTTATTTATGCAAGTACTATTTATTGTTGGCAAGAAAAAAATTTTGTGGCTCTTTAAAAACTTTGAAATTTTGTAAATTGTAATTTTGGCTCTTCCAACTCAAAAGGTTGCCGACCCGTGCTAGTATGATGCCTAACAAAGTTATCATACTAGCTTTTCTATACTCTCATCAAAGTAGGTTGCCACCAGGTCACTTACCAATCCTTTATGCTGACCTTCAACTCCTCATTGGTTTGGAACCCGTCCTCCCAACCACTGCTTCAAGTAAGTGAACAAGTGGAAAGCATTTGGTACTAAATTTAGGCTATATGGCAGATGAATACTTTCCATTTGAACTTCCTAAGTAGTTCCTGTGTCTGTACTGCAGTGTGAGGATAAGTATTGCTGTTTTTTAAAAAAAAAAGCTTTAAATAATGAACAATTTGTTTCAATTTGATATCAATAATTGCAACCAAAGTTATTACAAGAGGTTTTTTCCAACCTCCAATGTACCAGGAAGAAACTGAACAGAATATTTTCCAGTTCTATCAAATACTATTACTTTTGTATGCTAGTATTGTACAGAATAATCACTGCTAAGATTAAGGTCTGTAAAGAAATAATGCATACATGAAATATGTGTTTAATTTCACACATTGTTAAATTGGTATAAACAAACATTAAGCTCATTGATGTATTTGTAAGTAATTATTTTTAACATATTCATAAATTATAGCAATTTGGTTGTAATTTTTAAATATAATATACACATAGTATGCATAATTATCATACTAATGAATGATAATAAGCAATATGCAAGTTAAAATGCACCTCATTTACCCTCTTTTGCATAATAATTGTATCATTCTGATATAAGTTTTATAAAATGCCGTGAGGAAAAGAATTGAGCAAAAGTGAAGTGAGAAAAATCTTTCTATATCAAAAACAAGGAAAATCTTTTCAGAAGTATTGAAATCTAAGAACTATAAGAACTATTGGAGCAATTCAAAATGTTATTAAAAAAAGAGATCAATATGCAATATGGGATAAATAAATAAAGGTTTGGAAATAAGTTCTAAGTGAGAAGAAAAAGAAGAGTTTTCCATCTTGCCGTTGTTGCTAGTTTGTCATCAAAAATGTCTCGTGCAACAGTAGCTAATGTTTTTCAAAAATAATGAAAGCAACCAAAGGGATATTTAGCAGACAGATGGCAGGTGGTGGAGTCGTGGTTTGGTCAGCATTTGCTTTTAATGGCAAAGCAGATATTTTCTAAAATAATTCTATCATTATGATATGAAAGTATGTTATTTGAACATCTTAGTCCATTTGGACCACTGATTGGAGGAAAAGAGTGGATATTTAAGCAAGACAATGTTTCCTGTCATGTATCTAAATCCACCAAACACTGGTTTAAACAACAAAAAAACAGATTAACAAACTGGCCGTCGAATAGTCTGGACTTAAATCCCACGGGCAATGCTTTCTCGAATGGTCTATGCCAGGGATGTCCAACCTGCGGCCCACCCCACTGCACCCTAAAAGTTTTAGGTACATTTTCATTTATTTTGGTAAAGTATGTTTAAAAATATTCTTGTTTTATTGGATACACTTTATTGTCATAATGACATAATTGGTGCTAGAAAACTGTTATGCTTGTGGGGTAGTACATATTGTGAACAATTCTTTTTGTGCATGAAAAACATCAAAACTGCTGAAAGAAACAGGTTGAGGAGTGATTCCCATTTAACTAACATTCTTAGAATTAAGATTAGTACATAAAAGCATATATCGACAATATTATAAAAGGAAGGCAATGCCAAAAATCACATTGAATTTATTTATTTTGTGTGAGTATAATTTTTTTTTACTGTCAATAATACAATACAGTATTTTTTGTAATTATATATATTTGTTATTAAAATTTGATATTCACATTTTGAACTTTTTAAAAATATATATACAGTGGAATCTCGGTATACAACCTTAATCCGTTCCCGATGTTTGGACTTATACCGAATTGGACATATACCAAACCAACCTTTCCCATAAGAAGTAATGTAAAAATGATTAATCCATTCTCACGTAAAAAAAATGGCTGGCTTCAAACACCTCGCTTTCCTGGCTAGTTCCTGCTTGATTTTTCGTGAGATCAGTGTGTATCTTTTTAGCTTTCTCGCAAATAATTGCTTCTGATATGCTGTCTCTAGCACACTGTTTTTCAGTTATCCAAAGCAAAAGCAATTTCTCGACATGATCTAATGTCTTCGATCTCTGTTTAAAAATTGATTTAACCCCTTTTGCAACGTTAGCAGATTTAATAATGTCTTTATTTTTCGCGATTGTCCATATCGTCATTCTCGGAATACGGTAAACAACAGTTAAAATCTCGAACACGCGTGCCACCTTCGTATTTCTCAACAATCTCTCTAATCAATTCCATTGTAATTCTAGTCATTTTTTTAGTTTTCTGTCGCTTTTCATTTGCCTTTTTGCAATTCGTGATTAATAAAAATAATAAAATTTTACTTACGAATTAAGATCAGAAGAAATTAAATAAAGTTATAAACCATTGCACTGCGAATGTCTAGTCTGGTTTAGTACACCGATAGTGCTACTTGTTCATTGATGGCGCGTATAGTTGAATTATGTCGTATACCGAACAAAAGTCGTATACGGAGCAAAATTTGTTTCGTCCAAACAGGATGTATTCCAAATTGGACGTATTCTAAAGCAGACGTATACCGAGGTACCACTGTATTTATGTATCTTTGTGGCCTGCTGAATATACATAAATTTCTAATTTGGCCCATTAGGAAAAAAAGTTGGGCAACACTGGTCTATGCTAACGACAAACAATGCACAACTGCTGACTAACTGAAAGTTGCAATTTATAATTATTGGGATAAAATAAACTTGCATGAATTGTAATACTTGTTAGAAACAATGTTGTGAATTAGCTTGTAAATCCTCTTAGGCAAAGAAAATTGTATGAATTATTAAATCCATACGTAAAAGGGCAAATTTACTACTGTATGTATAATTATTTTACAGCAGATTTGGTTGCAATTTTTTTATTAGTTTATCACTCAGAAATTTGAATATTTTTATTTATGAATATGATGTACTTGTGAGTTATTTATAACAAAGAACTTATTAATTGTTAAATTGGTATAAATAAACATGGTATGAAATTATACACAAATTCCAAGTGTGTATGATTTCTTTACAGACCTTGTTTGTTTACACAAATGCTGCTTTTTTTTTCATCTTTCTTAATTTGTTACACTCATGTCAATATTGAATGTTGGGATTATAATATTGTTTTGTATGATGATATTTTATTTTGGACATTGTAATTTTTAAATTGTCTTGAGAACGACTAAGACAAAACCTTTCTCACTTCGTTTCTAGCCGTTTAAACACTGAGTACAAACGTTTTTGGCCTTCTTAAAAGGCTTTCCTCGGGTACACAGTGGTCGGTTGGTAGATATTCAAACGGTGTCACTGTTTACATAGGTTTCGTCTTACCAGTGACGTCATCGTTGTTGATAAGGTTTAGAGAGTCTAAACCTTCGTCACTGGTAGGACAAAACCTATGTAAACAGTGACACCGTTTGAATATCTACCAACCGACATTCCAACAGACCACTGTGTACCCGAGGAAGGCCTTTTAAGAAGGCCGAAAACGTTTGTACTCAGTGTTTAAACAGCTAGAAACGAAGTGAGAAAGGTTTTGTCTTAGTCATTTTAAATAGTTCTAGCTCCAAATGCATAGAAATTTGAGAACGATAACTATGTACTAAATCTATGACAGTTACCATAAATTACACTAATTCACTATACTGTCATAGGCAAATATTTGTGGTTTTTTTTGTCCTTGTGTATAGATGACAGTAGTATCATAGTGTGGGGATTAGAACAATTTCAACAGTGTAACATACAGTAGACCCCCCTATAACGCTTAGATACTTTCCACGCTAATCGAATTTTACGTTGTAGGAATGATTAAATACATGAGCCAATCGCAGCCCGATAGGTGGGAACTTTACAGAATAAGGCTGTTCGAAAGGTTTTCTTCTATAAAATTAACCGATTCTAGACTAATTCCACTCAACATTTCCAAAACACGTATAATTTTTTGGGAATAATCCGTATAAACTATGCTATAAACAAAAAATTATAGGATTACTTACCGAGTGTGTACCGTTCGACTACGCCGTTGCTTAAAGCTGGTTTTCGTTGCGGAACAGCACATGAAACGGCGGTCGCAATTTCTAATAACGAATTTTTCGCAGAAAAATAACTTGACCTTTGGAGACATCATTAATATAAATAATTTTAATGGCCGTTGAATAAGAAGTGTTTCTTTCACAAGAAGTGTATAAAATTAGTGCTGTATTAGACTTACGGTACCTAATTTACATACTGTACAGACGATAATAAACTCAACTTACTAGCCTAAAATCTCCGTAGTGTGTTGCCAGGCGGCAGAAAGCATATATATAATTATAATAAAGTTACAATAAATTAAGTTAATATATAATTATATGTACAGTACCTAATTTATATATAATACTATATAGACGATAGCAAACTCAATTTAGCCGCTCCGTAGCGTGGCGCAGGGTCGGAGGAAAGTAGTTCGGCTGCTCATCCACTATTGGTCCAGATTCTATCAATCTTGTTGCGAAACGACGTTATAGGAGGTATTTTATACGAATGTCGCTACAATTTTTTCACTACGTTATAGGAACGCACGTTATAGGGAGGTAGACTGTATACAGATTTGAAGCTACCCCATTTTTCATACAAGATAACCTTGACATCTGATTAGAAAATGACATTCTTTTATACGTATACAATATATGTCTCTTTAATCCAAAAAATTACAAGAATTCCGGTGGACTATCTGCCAGCCTTTAGGTCAGGAACATCCTTTATTGAAGATACAGGTTACATATGCATTTCGGGCTTATTTTATCTTTAAGCCCCTCTTCAGTGCTATACTAAAAAATTTAGAACAATTGGTAATATAACAATATACAGGTAATGCATGTAGATTATATCCTCTGACATAAAATAGTTTTTTTATCATACCAAAAAAAGGTTTTCCATTTTATGTCAGAAGATATAATCTACATGCATTACCTGTATATTGTTATATTACCAATGGTTCTAAATTTTTTAGTATAGCACTAAAAAGGACTTAAAGATAAAATAAGCCCGAAATGCATATCTTCAATAAAGGATGTTCCTGACCTAAAGGCTGGCAGATAGTCCACTGGAATTCTTGTAATTTTTTGGATTAGAGAGACATATATATGTACAGTAGTACCTCAGGATATGACATGAAATTCAAACATATTTTTGCTCCACGGTACAAACAAAAACTCACCATACGACGTTACATTAGTTCACAGCGTCACCGCCATGATTACGTGTTCCTTCTGTTCATTGGTCTTAGTCCGCGTGTTTGCTATCAGAAGAAATTAAATAAAGTTATAAACCATTGCACTGCGAATGTCTAGTCTGGTTTAGTACACCGATAGTGCTACTTGTTCATTGATGGCGCGTATAGTTGAATTATGTCGTATACCGAACAAAAGTCGTATACCGAGCAAAATTTGTTTCGTCCAAACAGGATGTATTCCAAATTGGACGTATTCTAAAGCAGACGTATACCGAGGTACCACTGTATTTTGTAATTTAATTGCTGTATTCCTTAGAAACTAATTGTTGTTTCTAACTTGTCTAAACTAAGTTGTTTTTAAAATTGTGCTAGTAATCTGGTAATTTAACAATAAGAAAATAAGTACTACTTAGCTGGTATAAAAAAACTTACAATTTTGTGTTTATAATAAATTATAAGTTATAATTCTTTTATTTATAATTCAAGTGAGTAAAATGTATTAACACNCAATTATTATTCTATTATGGTTATTTATACATTTACAACTACAAAATGCATTTTTCAGTGTTTTCCTTACTAAAGTTATTTTGTTTTTCAATGTACAGGTAACCCCCGTATAACACTGCACTTCTATAGCAGATTCACTCTAACACGGTTCAAGAATTGGGTAAAGCCCTCGTACAACATGAAATGTAATAAATTTTCACATACTTAAGTACTAATAGTTCACGAAAATTATTATTTTCGTGAACTATTAGTACTTAAGTATGTAAATTTTCTTTTCCGCCTTCTGTCGATACATTTACTGTCGATACACGTAATCCTTCTCGAAACTTGTTTCGTGTTGCCAGATCTCGACGATTCTGATTTTGTGTTGCCCGATGTTTCCCTTATTCCATACTTGCTTTATTCTTCATAAGTGCTTAGCACCATATAAGGAAATTTATAAAGATCTTTTAACTAAAAGCAAGCAATCTAAAATAACATATTTTTTGCAAAAGGTAGAGCATGGATCTGAAGATAATCAGAAAAATGCTCAGAGGATAAGGATATCTTGCCAAAAAGAAAGTGCTCTCGGTTAACAGTGCTTTTAGTGATGACAAAGAAAACATTATTTTATTTATATTAATATGTATCACTTAAGAAAATTTTAATAAAGATATTTATCTTAATTATGAAAATATAATAGCATGTTTTTTTAATTTTTGGAACCTAACACCCCTTTTCGTACTAGTTCTTTATTTTGTATAACACAGATTCGCATAACACTGCAATTTTTTGGAACATAACTTCCGTGTTATACGGAAGTTACCTGTACTACTTAGCTTTAATTTGAGTGTGTTTTTTATGTTGAAACAGATTATTTAGTTTTACATGTAATCACATAGGGAAAAATGATTCACCTTACAACATTTTCATGATACGATCTCAGTTTAGGAATGGATTAATTTTGTATCCTGAGGTACTACTGTATGAACAAATAAACAGCTACCATTACAGATATTTGACATTCTTTTAGTGTGTTTTCCATCTGTCAAAAAAGTTGTCACTCAAGATTAAGTTAGCAGTTAACATTTATTTGTTAATTAATAAATCTTTTGTATCATTTATTAAAATTAACATTAAAAACTTTATTAAATATTTATTGCAAATGTGAGAAACATTTAACATACATTATTATAACAATGTTAACAATGATCAACTTTCTGTACAAAGTAGAAAATTTCAATACAATATTAATGTTAAAAAAATTATTTGATTCTTATCACAAAATCATTATAATTTCATTGTATAATTTCACTGTGAGATTTACAACAGAAAAAAGGAACGTGAAAGAATACATAAATTTTCTTTGGTCCCTTTCTCTGGATCTTGAAAGAAATGCATTCGCGAAAGTAAGACTAAAACAAAGCACTCAGGCTAGAAGATTTTTTATGTGCTTCGGAGTTGTTTCGTCATTTAGATGTATCGTAGTGTATCTAAAACATTTTAATTGTTAATATTCTTATAAAAATATGTCAGAATAACTAACATGAAAACAAATTCATACCTAAGTGCATTTAATAAACCTTCCACATCACAAGGTTCTTGATCTTTCAGAACTTTAATACAAGCTTTCATCTTCAAATATTAAGAAAGATAAGAATGCAATTTTATAATTTTTTAGCTTTGATAATATTTGTAAATTCAAACGTAATCTTACATCAATGTGAGAGGACTTGGCAAAGGCACCGACCGGATGGACGTGATCGTAGAGTATTATGACACCCACCATGACTCTCAAAACAAATAGTATAGTGTCTTCTTTGTTAAATCTCGAAGAAAACTCCCTATAGAAAGAGATTTTATCAAATTCTGTCGGAAATATTTGGAATAACTTAAATATTTTTAAAACTAGAAGAATACAAATGTTTGTTGTAGATGGACTTTTATTTTCAAGGGGAAAAATAATCTACTTACGTGCTTTCGACCATTCTCTGGCAGATGTTGGCCATGGTCTGTAGAGTCTCCGTTGTGTTTTCTACCGGCAAGTCTTTATTATTGGAGACAAATTGAGTCGTTGCGTCGCTCAGCACTTTCAGCATAGGAGTCGCGTGAGCGTAAAATAGAGACATTCTGTTTGCGAGTTCATTAGACACGTTTAAATCGTTATCATTATATTCCTGTAAATAATTTTAAAGTTTACTACTATAGACATTGCAAATAACTGTAGTTATTTTCATCACAAAAGCTTTCATGAATTGGAAAATTGGCCATTAATTAAATGTGTTATAATCAAAGATTTTGTATCACAAGATAATCTACTGCAAAAGTGAAATTATAGCATGGCAGTGCCACTCCAAACACATCCCAGAACTACTAGCAAACAAATTTAACACACACGGTACCAACTTGTTGTTTTAACTGTTAAATAAGCCTAAACTATGAAATATGTCGGGCTGTAACACAAACCAAAAGTGAGAAATCTCTCTTCTAGTTTCCACAAGTTAAGTACAACAAAGACAAGAGATCAAGAACATAATTTACCTATGTATTAAATAATCAATATATTAGGCCTAAATACTAGTAAACGCATTAATGATGATTCTCATATTTAAATAAACATCTAATATTTTTTTGAAGAAAAAATAATAAATATAAACAAAGTATTGTTAAATGTTGCAATTTTATATTTATATATTTAATTAAACATCTAATATGTTTTGCATCTACTATACAATTCCGACAAAAAATTTCAGACAATATGTTATTTTAATCAATCTCTAGTTTATCCTTCAATACTATCAAACAGAAATTTTGTACACTTATAACTCTTTTTTATGTGAAATCTTCAGTTATAATAAAAGTTTACTAATATAAAATAATAATGAGCAGTTGAAAAAAGCATACACAACGGAAAAAAAAACTTTGGACAGAGCCTTTTCTGATAATTAATACCTCAGACAATACAATTAAATGACCTGTTCCTAGATGTGTAAATGAACTGATGTGATATTTGCATATTTTTCTTATAAACATTATAGAGGTGTATTTGTTTAATGAAAAATGGTTTCTGGTAAGGCCATAAGTGTTGTTTTACATGAAGTAATTATCATCTTCCGTAGACAGGACAAATCCTTAAGAAAAATTGAAAAGGAATTAAAAATTAGTAATTCCACAGTGTGAGGTATTGTTTCAAAATATCAGAAAACTGGTAAAATTTATCCAGGAAAATCAACTGGAAGGCCAGCAACCATAACAAAGACTGATCACACCTTTGTGAAATAACGAAAAAAATCAATGGTATCACTCGATGAATTAGTGAACGAATGGAATAAAGTTACAGGAAAGGAAGTTACAAAAGAAACTTGTTGTATCCATCTGCAAAAACTTTACCAGGTAAGAAAATAATAATATTTTTTACTTAACAATTGTGACAAGTGACATTTCTCAGACAAAGGCAAAAACCACTTCTCACAAAAACACAAACAAAAAATCAATTGAAGTGAGCCAAAAAACACCAACGCTGGACACAACAGTGGAAGCAGGTTGCTTTTAGTGATGAGGCAAAATTTGAAGTCTGCATCAGAGGCAATAGAAGAAAGTCATTAGAGGCGTTCCATTGTGACTGTCTGCAGCAACACTGTTAAATTCCTAGCAAGTGTTATGGTGTGAGGTTGCATGTTGGCCCAAGGTTTGGGAAATTTGCATTTTATTGAAGGAATGGTAAATGCAGCAAAATATCAACAAATCCTTGAGGGAAAATAAACCTATTACTGTCATTAGATCGCAGACATTTTATTTTCCAACAGGTGGTGCAATACTTCTAAAATCACCAAAGCTTGAATGGCCCAACATGATATTAACACATTAAAATGGTCATTGGGCAGTCCCAACCTTTCCCCTTAGAAAATATGTGGTGTAAAATTAAAAAAGGAAAGGAATGAGAAAATGTCCTCAAGGAAGTACAGATGGTTTAAAACACGAAAAAAAAAAATCAAGTAAATTTGGGATGAAATTACTCAAAATGAATGTCTGGCTCTTGTTGATAATGATCATATAAACACTGTTATATTGATACAAGCCAAAGGTTAAATATTAATGTATTGTCCGAGGTATTATTTGTCATGGCTCTGTCAGAGCTTTTTTTGTCAAGTATGCTTTTTTCAACTGCTCAGCTTTTTTTTATGTAAAATCTTCAGTTATAATAAAAGTTTACTAATATAAAATAATTATAAGTGTACAAAATTTTTCTGTTTGATATTACTGAAGGATAAGCTAGAGATTGTTTAAAATAACATGCTATTCAAGGTTTTTTTTGTTGTTGTATATTACATTATATATTTATGTGCCTTAGCAATTTAAATAAGCATAAAAATCAGTATAATAAATAATTACTACCATATATATTTTAAATAAACACTGCAGCATTTAAAAAAATGAGTTCTTGAAACTGGAACCAAGGTAACTGTTATAACATATTTTATAACATACCTTGATCACATTTCCAGCACACCTTATATGAGTTACAAACATTTTTGGCATTTTCAGAAACCTACTTCAGGTTTCTCTCTTTTTTAACTTTCTTCTGAAAAGTTGAAATTTCAACAGATTCTGTTCTATAATTCTTTTATGTAGCAATGTTTTTTAAAAAAAAAAAAAAAATGGCACATGCCCATACTTACATCCAAAAACACAAAACAAGCAACTTAAGGTGTTACTTTTAATAAGGAATGTGCCATAGGCTAGGTTGTATCCTTATGTTGGCTGTTATTGTTCCTCCTCATTTTTAGGGGATTATCAAATAAAAACTGTCAAGCCATAGATAATGAAGCACAGTTCTTACAATGAATGCAATCAGCCCTCATACTTGCTTTCGAAATCTCTTAGGCAGTGCTCTTTGAATACTGGCTTTAAGAGGGTTGTGTTGTTGAACCCCGTGGACATCCTGGCTCATTGTCATATTGTCCTAATCGGTGGCGGATTTCTGCACGGGTGAATGAGGCGTGCGCCTGGGGTCTCAAATCAAGGGGGCCTGAAATTCGGCTCTCAAAAAGAAAATTATTTTATTTAATTATTATTTTATTTTTTTCATATTAAAAATGAGTAATAATTTAGCAGTATTCCCTAAATTAAATTGACAAATGAATAACACCGTCTATGACATGTTTTGCAGGTGGCAACCCTAGCGGTCATATTTCTAACCATACGCACTGGCTGTTCCTCAGACAGTGTATAGATCACAAACTACTACCAGAGTCGATAGAGCATAGCGCAAGGACCGTTATATCTCCAGTTCAGTTAATGTGTCAGGTTGCCGATAGCTGGTGTTAGAGTCGCTTTTAGGCGAGAAGAAGTTGTTTTATTTATCTATTTGGTTAGTAGGTAGTTTTTCCGTTTTCAAGCATTTTTGTAACTTTTTTCTACTATTCTTTCAAAAAAATCCTATTCATAATTACATTTTAAAATTTTATATCATGTATAAAGAAAGAAAAAAAGTGTATTTAGTTTATTTTAAAATTAAATGAGATTATAATTTGAAATTACAGATGAAGATGTGGATAAATTGAAAATATAATTATTTTCAATTTAATTTATCCAGGTTTTAAATGGAGATTTGTTTAAAATTGTTATATTGCTACATATTGTGAATGAAAGTTTTTACATAATGTTCTGAGTATAACATATCTGTTCAATACATAGGTAATGGTAAAATAAGTAAATAAATTTGCATTTTACTGTTTTATTTTATTACATATGTATGACAATATAATTAGGAAAACCATAGCTCATCCTCTGATATATTTAAATAGCCATAGAAATTTAATCCAGATAAAGACAAACTATTTTTTAAATAATTTATTAACTATAACACACATAAAGTGTGCTATACAAGTTTACTTGATTCAGTATAGTGAGAAATAGTATTTGGGATGAAATAGTTTTGTATTTTTGACATGAGAAATTATTGGTTCTACATAGTTTGGTAATTTATATAATATTCTGCACTATCAAAAGTAGAATATGAATGAAGATTTATTGATGGCCTAATACACCTGTCCTTTGTTTATATAGGCCTAAAACATCAATAATATGTCTTTTAGTGATGACATGCAGTCTAAAAGAATCACTATCACTGTCAATATCTAATAATACTGTCTGAACTCTTGCCATCCTATATTTACCTATTTTATTTGTCAACTTTTAACTCGTCATCTCTAAATTATTACGTGCCTGTAAATATGTTGAATATGTTGTCTAAATAGTTGGAATTTCTCTTTTTCTTATAACAGCCTATATTTGAAATCCAAGAACTAAATCTACTGACTTTTAATCCCCCTCTCTAACCTGTTCCTAACTTTATTTGGTTCAACTATAATCTCTCTCCCTCATTAATAAACACAATATAAATTGTGAATAACATATATCATAGCTCCTTTCTCACTGCACTACAATAATTCACCTAATATTAATAAATAAAAAAATATGGGCTTAACCTTGATAAACTCCAAAGCCATCCTAAATTTTTTTTTGTAACACTTTGAATTTATCCTATCTTAACACATGGTTTAACATTTCTATACATTTCCATAATTTAATGTATATAATTCTCATCAACCCCTTTTCTTTTTGATTCAGAGTTCTCGAGAATCTCTACGGCATCCTATATTAACAATGTATATACAAGCTTAACTATAAATTTTTTGATTACCTTTTCTTACTCTTAACAAAAATTCCCAAAAATATTTAAAAATGAACATATATTAGAGAGGTTGTGGCCAATGTTTTCATCACGAAAACGTGAATGTCGGACGTTCAGCACCGCCTTCCTGTAAGCCTAGAAGTCTGACAATGGCGTTTAAAACGTCAGTGGAATCATGCTCGATGTTCCAAACGCCATTGTCAAACTTCTAGGCTTACAGGAAGGTGGCGCTGAACGGCCGATGTCCACATTTTTGCGATGTAAACATCGGCCACAACCTCTCTATTGTAAGTAAAAAACAAACTTACTCTCTATGCTCCAGCCAAACTTACACCTAGATGTAATCAAAGTGTTTGAAGTGGCAGAAATATTTATTATGCCAGTAAGGTAGCAATAGAGCTATTGGCAGTGCAAGGACCAGTATAGCTATTGACTCTGCTACTACATAAATAAATGCATGCACATTCACGAATGTGTGAATGTGACAATGAC